TATTTCACAAATTAACTCAGATTAATGAAATATTTACAAATGTTTTATTTGCAGTTATATTTAAACATTCTTGACTAAGTTAGACATGTTTTTACCAGTGTTTTTAATGGCACTTTCTAATTTTCATTAGATTATAATTATTTATAGAATTAATGTATAAATATTTTACAGGTTGGTGAAGGCAGCCAGTACTGGGCTTTGAGACTTCAACAAGCCCTCATCCCTCGTGCAGTAGCAGCCAGTACTGGGCTTTGAGGCTTCAATAAGCCCTCATCCCTCGTGCAGTAGCAGCCAGTACTGGGCTTTGAGACTTCAATAAGCCCTCATCCCTCGTGCAGTAGCAGCCAGTACTGGGCTTTGAGACTTCAATAAGCCCTCATCCCTCGTGCAGTAGCAGCCAGTACTGGGCTTTGAGACTTCAATAAGCCCTCATCCCTCGTGCAGTAGCAGCCAGTACTGGGCTTTGAGACTTCAATAAGCCCTCATCCCTCGTGCAGTAGCAGCCAGTACTGGGCTTTGAGACTTCAATAAGCCCTCATCCCTCGTGCAGTAGCAGCCAGTACTGGGCTTTGAGACTTCAATAAGCCCTCATCCCTCGTGCAGTAGCAGCCAGTACTGGGCTTTGAGACTTCAATAAGCCCTCATCCCTCGTGCAGTAAGCTTAGTAAACTTGAAGAAGCAAATAAGGATGACAGCATCCATAGCAGCTAAGCCCCTTTTGATTTGATTTTTTTATTTTATTCCATAATTATTATTTTATATTTGTATTAGAATAGGCTTAATGTTTACTACGTTGGATATGGGTGGATGTGTTGGATATGGGTGGATATATTTGTTAAGGGTGGACATGTTGGTTATAGGTGGATATGTAGGATATGGGTGGATATATTTGTTATGGGTAGATATGTTGAACATGGGTGAATATGTTGGTTATGGGTGGATATGTACGACATGGGTGGATATGTACGACATGGGTGGATATGTGGGATAGGGGTAGATACTTTTCACTTGTCTATAACAGTTTCTTAAGATGAAAGTGAGCGACTTGCTCAGTATTCTCGCCAACTCCTTTAGGAACCATTATGCAAGCTGACCTGGCTCTACCATCCCTGTGTCCATCATATAGCAGGAAGAACAGCCGATGGAGTAGGCCGGATAGAAGAGTCCCGCCAATCCAGTCCCAGAGTCCTACTGTCCCAGAGAGAGAAAGGACTGCAGGACTCTGGGTATAAGGCTAGAATCTGTGATAGGGGGGACAGTAAGCAATATACAGCCTTCACATGGAAGGGGTATAAGGGAAGGATAGGAAGCGGTGGTTGAAGGATAGTTAGAATCGGAATAATCACCGTAATGTGGAATTTAGCCTCTCCAGTCACAAAGTGAAATGTTAAATGAATTCAGAGGGAAATGGACTCGTATAGTAACTCCAATAGTAGCAACGAGCCTGTAACTGTTCGCGCCTGAGGTCATTACACTATATATAAATAATTTAATTCATTATAGTATATATCTATACACAACTCCTGTCATCAATTTTCACGACTGATCAAATTCAGTTCAATCAATAAATTTGATTATTGTTGGCGATAAATTGTGTGGCTACTGTGAAGGGTGATTACTGCACTGTAGTAGAAATCCGATCTAGAATTTGCACCACTGTGTGTGGGGGAGGGGGGGGACGGTGTCCAGATGTTGTTCGGGGGAAATGAGCACAAATGTTTTCGCCCGAGTTTGTTTTAATCAGCGGCTGCCTCCTGGACCTCGGCCGAGATGCAGAGGATTCCGAATTACATGTAAATGAGACGAGCCTGAGAGCTGGGCTTGGCTAAGTCGATGGTTCCTGGTAGTGTGGCGCATGTGAAGGAGTTACACTAGATGGGGATGGGTGAGGAGGCTGGTGTGTGGATGGGTGACGAGGCTGGTGTGTGGATGGGTGAGGAGGCTGGTGTGTGGATGGGTGAGGAGGCTGGTGTGTTGATGGGTGACGAGGCTGGTGTGTGGATGGGTGACGAGGCTGGTGTGTGTGTGGATGGGTGACGAGGCTGGTGTGTGGATGGGTGAGGAGGCTGGTGTGTGTGTGGATGGGTGAGGAGGCTGGTGTGTGGATGGGTGAGGAGGCTGGTGTGTGTGTGGATGGGTGACGAGGCTGGTGTGTGGATGGGTGAGGAGGCTGGTGTGTGTGTGGATGGGTGACGAGGCTGGTGTGTGGATGGGTGACGAGGCTGATGTGTGTGTGGATGGGTGACGAGGCTGGTGTGTGGATGGGTGACGAGGTTGGTGTGTGGATGGAGGAGCGTAGAATGCTTGTTTGAAAACTTAAAATATAAGTAACACATAGACAAAGGATTGACTACACACACGTAACTAGTGTAATGTTAGGATAGGTCATTCTGACCTAACAATTGGACAGAACCCCTCCCCCCCCCCCCCAAAAAAAAAAAAAACAGATGAGGAGAGACCTTTCGACGGGTCAATTTCCCTGTCATCACACAATGTCAATTGTCTTGACTTCAGTAAAAATGTTCAAATCCTCAAAGTAACATATATATTAATTGATGTTATAAGTGCAAAAATGTTCAGAAGGGCCATTTATAGTGATGGATCCTGTTACCATCATTATATTATTTATATTTCCTTTAATGTTATTAAGTATATTGGATTGGATTTTCTCCAATTAACAGCAATTTAACGGCTTGGTGATTTTAGTTAGGCTGTTAGTTTAGTTAGTTTAGTTTTAGTTGGGCAGTTAGGCGGACTTGTACAATTACAAAGTTCCTGAAAGTTGAGAAGACTGACTAGGGAGGAAATAGAGAAGGCGAATTGGAAATCCCCAGCATAAGGAGCTCCCACAAGCAGTAAATTAGCTCTTCCCTTTCTTCAAACATTCTCAAGAATAGTTAAAGAACACCTTCCACAACTGTAATGATCTCAGAAGCCGAGGAGAGTGTGACCTCTGTGGCTCATCTTAACGAGCCTCCATACTTAACGAGCCTCCATACTTAACGAGCCTCCATACTTAACGAGCCTCCATACTTAACGAGCCTCCATACTTAACGAGCCTCCATACTTAACGAGCCTCCATACTTAACGAGCCTCCATACTTAACGAGCCTCCATACTTAACGAGCCTCCATATATCATTGTTTGCTTCAGTCAATTTCCAACATGATCTCGTTAAATTGTTGACATGAGTTGACTTAATGCTGCGATTCATGATGACGGGAATAATGGCAGTTAATTGTTAATTGCTTTATTTAGCACGAAGCCTTTATCCCTACGAATACCTAAACCTTTAACCGTTTGAGTGTTCTATCAATATTCTGTCGATTTGTGGAAAAATTTACCAGGTAACATCAAATAGATTGGCAGATCGCTTGATTGTTTCAAGCGACGGTTTGACATAGTTTATAATGAGTTAGAGGTTGGTATGAATAGGTCTGGCGCCTTCATGTGGTCGTTAAGCTATGTGGGTTTTTTTTAGTTCAAGCTCTCCTGAAGGATTGACTCTGGGTATATATATAGAATTGATTTTTGGACCTTTCGGAACGTTGTCAGCACACACATCCAACTACTCCTGGCGACAAGTATATATATATATATATTTTATATATATACAAGAGTTCTTACGTTCTTGTACAGCCACTAGCACGCGGAACGTTTTGGGCAGGTCCTTAATTCTAAATTTTCCCCGGAATACGACCCCGCTAAATCGTTTTAACAACCAGGTACCAATTTACTGTTGGGTGAACAGAGGGCTACAGTTAAGGATTGGCGCCCAGTCAATCCTCCCCGGCCAGGATACGAACCCGGGGCAAAGTGTTCGCGAAGCCTTTCCCGGCGGACCGTATGTGAGTCCAGCTATCAAAGAGAATGGCGGGCTGATAGCAAAAGGGACAAAGAGCTCATCTCTTCCCCCACCTCTCCCTTTCCTCTCACTACCTCTCCCTCTCCTCTCCCTCCCTCTCCTCTCCCTCCCTCCCTCCCTCTCCTCTCCTCTCCCTCCCTTACTCTCCTCTCCCTCCCTTACTCTCCTCTCCCTCCCTCACTCTCCTCTCCCTCCCTCACTCTCCTCTCCCTCCCTCACTCTCCTCTCCCTCCCTCACTCTCCTCTCCCTCCCTCACTCTCCTCTCCCTCCCTCACTCTCCTCTCCCTCCCTCACTCACCTCTCCCTCTCCTCTCCCTCTCCTCTGTCTCACCTCTCCCTCCCTCACTCACCTCTCCCTCCCTCACTCACCTCTCCCTCCCTCACTCACCTCTCCCTCTCCTCTCCCTCACCTCTCCCTCACTCTCCTCTCCCTCACTCTCCTCTCCCTCCCTCACTCTCCTCTCCCTCCCTCCCTCACTCTCCTCTCCCTCCCTTACTCTCCTCTCCCTCCCTTACTCTCCTCTCCCTCCCTCACTCTCCTCTCCCTCCCTCACTCTCCTCTCCCTCCCTCACTCTCCTCTCCCTCCCTCCCTCACTCTCCTCTCCCTCCCTCCCTCCCTCTCCCTCCCTCCTACCAACCCCTCCTACCCACTCCCCAGACAACGCTAAACTTGCGCGCAAATTCCTCTCCGTGAAGCGACCCAATGCGATTCTTATTTGCACATTGTCAGCTGGACCAGCTTGGAGAGTCACCCAGAGGCGGCCCATGTGAGGCACCCGGAGCACAGTGGGGCCAGCGTTCAGTCTTTGTTAAACCCAAATTGGTTTCCACGATACAGCAATTTTAAGCGATAAACTAGAAATTACATTTTTTTTCCATCTGTTACGTGTAGTTTAGATTATATACATCGATTGTACCTGAAACAAAATGTGATTGGTGTTTTCTATTATAATAAATGAGGGTAGATTATTGTGGGTACTCGTCGTCCGGAACTATTGTTTCGTATACTAACTATTGTGTCAGTTGTACAGGAATGTACTGTTGTGCGCAGAGTACAAGTTGTGTACTATTTAGTAGAGGGGTACAGATACTCTAGTGTATAAATCATGTATTCATCTTCACTGCGGCCTGTCATCACTCATCATCTTCACTGCCTCTCTCATCACTGTCATCATCTTCACTGCCTCTCTCATCACTGTCATCATCTTCACTGCCTCTCTCATCACTGTCATCATCTTCACTGCCTCTCTCATCACTGTCATCATCTTCACTGCCTCTCTCATCACTGTCATCATCTTCACTGCCTCTCTCATCACTGTCATCATCTTCACTGCCTCTCTCATCACTGTCATCATCTTCACTGCCTCTCTCATCACTGTCATCATCTTCACTGCCTCTCTCATCACTGTCATCATCTTCACTGCCTCTCTCATCACTGTCATCATCTTCACTGCCTCTCTCATCACTGTCATCATCTTCACTGCCTCTCTCATCACTGCAGCCTGGCATCACTGTAACCAT